AAATATATTTCAAGAAAATTTTTTACAGTTTACGGAGCATTCTAATAAGTCTACAGAAATAGCGTACAATTGTGGCGGTTGTCGTTTTACCGGGAAGCTCTTTTAAAGTATCCTGCAGTTACATTATAAGTACAAAATAGTGTGTTGTATTTTTTTGAAGTAACAGGTGGGATATTTCATGGTATACCATGAGAGAGTGTTACATAACTATTTCATACTATGCTATTGAAAATACAGTGGCAGGCACAAACAAAGTGACATACGAGCAGCGCATGATGGGAAGGTTGGATATAATACCGTCGAATATACAACGGCTTTCCTGTATTCTGATTGGCTGTATTTTCTATGGCAGAGTATAAATAGAAATAGTATTAGCACAGAGTACTAAGGAGAAAAACAGGGTGTCTTATTTCTTTGTTTATTTTTAATTGCCTCGCAAGGATTTGAAGAACTCTGTTAATGCCACCATCCAGATTTCCGTAAACACACCCGAGGAAACAAAAATCATCAAAACATCAGAAGTGAAAGATCTCGACATTTCCGCGGAACTCAAAAGTTTGCAAGAAAAGCTTTCAAACATAATACGTAATCTCGAAATGGGCGAGCTGAAAGAAGAATCTTTCCCAATTCAAAACAAGGTAGATTTACTGAACAGGCAGAGTAGAACCCTGCAAGAACTTTACACTAAAGTCACTGGCATGACAGGTGAAGCTTGTAAGTGCGATGAATTAGTGAGAAGAAACTTCTACGACTTCACGTACCACAGTTTAAGAGCCGTACATAATGATCTGCGTGCACGAGCTGCGGACCTACAATCAGCAGAACCGACCCTGAAAGAGGAGGAGAAAGAAACACTACGAAAAATATTGTCATACCAAAAAGGTAGAGAAAAGCAAGTCGAGCATTTGGAGAAGTTATGGATTGGGCTTTTCACTCCGGTATGTAATTACGAAAAATAATGGTAAATCAATTAACTAAATGACACTATTCGTATTGCACATGTATACTTAGAAGGCTTCGAATTCCTTGATCCGTTATCCTTACAACGGCTCTACTTTATAATCTCCATTTTCCTAGCCTCCTCGTTGCTTTTCTTTCCGAAAACTGAAAGGAGACAGGATCCTAGGTGGTAAAGGCCTGGTAATGAGCTTAACCCTCCCGGGGTACTCCCTACAATGGCCTATGTGGGAAGGCTCCGACCGAAAGGGGCACCTTTTTCGAGTTCAGACTTCAGGTATATGAAAGGGTAGGATTTTACAAGTTGAGGTATATGAAAGGTTAGAGAACTCATTTACATATAACTAAGAGACCTCATTTTCTCTTGATGTAACGTGAATGGGAACTGAATAAATGAAACCTGTTTTTTGGTTAACATTTCTTCTGGTATATGCATGATGTTCTTCCACAGTATTGTTCATTAACTCCATTAAAATTAACTTAATTAATATTAAAACCATTTCTACTTAAAATTACAATATCATCATTCGAATTAAAAAATAAAAAAAAAAGTTTTAATAAAACAAACATGTTTTTTAAATTACAGATGAAACCACCTTTGCAGAAATCTCAGTCGTCACCACCCGTGAGGGAACTCGGTAAACCACCTAGTGATGCGAAGGTAATTAACTAGAATTAAAATCATTTTTGATTTCTTCCCGAGAAGACGAGAAATATACTTTTAAAACAGATAGTTAACATAACTTCAAATTCATTCTTGGACTTAACTGCGCAGTGGTTTTAGCAAGAGGTTGACAGAGGCTAGAGGCAAACATAGCTAGGCGCTGAACAAGCCTAATATCTGAGAGTTCATGGAAAAAGTAAAGGTCGATCTGCTGTCAAACTTAAGTAAAATCAAACTTGGCTCATATGAAAAAATAATTATTTTCTTTGATAACAATTCGTACGTGTGGTTGTTTTTTTTTT